CATTGAGTTTGGCCCCGATGGGCACACACAGACGTGTGCATCGGAAATGTCTGTGTCAGATCGCCCACCTCCATGTCGGTCCTTCCTTACACTTAATCTGCATTTGCTAAAAAATGTATTCACAACTGAAACGGATTCTTGACTTACTTGAGAAAGGTGACTCCTCGACTAAAACTCAACTGATATGTTACACTTTAGCTGAGTATTAGCTCTGCTTATGATCAGGTTACCAAGAGGGTAAGAATATCTACATCAATAAATCCTGTAATCCCAATAATCCCTACACATCTGTGATACTGCGATCACAGTTGGCCTTAAAACCAAGTCAAATGTAATTGTACTTGAACGTTAAGAGGATGTCTGGGAGTGAGCTACTAGGAGCAATGACTATGACTAGATACACATTATTAAAAACTCTGGTCCTCTGGTTTGATGAGAACCACTTCAGTACAGCTAAGGTGCTTCTATTTAATAGAAGGTTTAGAAGACGACAGCAGAAGTAATGAAGTGCCGCGATACATTTTGAACCAGTCTATCTTGCAACACGCCCATAACGTCATTGAGAACATTATTTTTCCCTGCAAACATTTTTCATTTCAATGCCGGCTGTTAAGTGATGAATACACCAATGTTAGGGACACAAAACACAGCACTCTCTCTGGATGTGTTGCAGTCTAGATTAGGCAAAAAAAGTGGGTGGATCCTTCAATCAGAGGATTAGCGGTTCGATCCCGGGCCCGGCTAACCCCCTTGGGCAAGACACTTAACCCCAACATTGCTCCTGCAGCTGGGACTGCAGTGTGTGACTGCTAGTTACTAATGGGCAGGTGTCGCTGTGTGTCGTAGCTCCTGTCATCGCTGTACGGATGGGTGTGAATGATGACATGAAGTGTTAAAGCGCTTTGAGTGGTCAGAAGACTAGAAAAGTGCTGTACAGTCCATTTACCATTTACCATTTTGGGACAATATACTACCTGCCTACAGATGACCAGCGGCAGAATCGAGGTGTGTGTATGTGTGACTGTTTTATAGCAATGGCTTTGCTTTCAGGTCGCTTTGATCATGTGTAATGTGATGCAATGTATAGAACTTTTTCTTTATAGCTTTAATTAGTGATCATAATTGCTGCACACCACAATCAACTGTGTCATTTAAGGCAGGTGTATGGCTGCACATTCATACACAACACATCATTGTAGCGTAGAGACATGCAAATAACTCACTAATCCCAGTGAGCGCACAGTAAAAACACTGGATCACGTCATCATTTAAAGAGTATAACAACAGAAACACACTACTCGCACTACTGACGTTTTCAAACTGATGGAGGCCTGAGGAAAGCAGGTTTGGCACCGGCTTTAAATACTTATGATGACATGAAGTTTTGGGATCTTCTAAGGCAGTGGTCCCCAACCTTTTTTACCTCACGGACCGGTTTCATGTCGGACAATATTTCAGGGACCGGTCGAGAAGGTCAGACGTGGGGGGGGGGTGGGGTGCACGGTAAACGGACAAGAAAAACGCCTGGTGACGCGTGGGGAATATGTCAGAGGGACGAGTGCACATAATTAGGAGAAAATCCGGTCAATTTTCAAAATAAAACATTTTTCAGAAAAATAATATATATAAGCTTTCTGTGGTGCGGCCCGGTACCAAAAGGCCCACGGACCGGTACCGGTCCGTGGCCCGGTGGTTGGGGACCACTGTTCTAAGGCACTGGATAATTTGCTGGATTGTAGGTCACTAAGAGTAAAAAAAATCTCCCTGTATATCAAAAAAGAAAGACATAACTTGGTCCAGGTGCAACCTGACAGACCGCTTCTTGAAAGACCCGATGCGCAGCAGCTAAAGTAGATGCTTGGGGAGATGCTAACAAAGGAGCTGCAGGGTACAGAATGTAAATGGTTTGCCTTGCTGAACCCTCTGACCTGACTCCATAACAGCTCTCTCTCTCTCTCTCATCTGGCTCTGGGAAACCAACTTGAAGTGTGACGACCAATAAAAGGGGGCCGGGTAGTAAAGACCAACATCACACACAGTTCAGCAAAAGGATCCAACATTACAGACACACGTCACATCTTTACGTAGTTGACGAATTGTCAGACAGTCTTAACTGTGAGTGGATTTAAAAAGCCTAAAGACAGCAAATATGACCTACTGTTCAAACTCATACAAGTATGTTATGTGAACCGATCAGACCATGACTCCGGGACTCTTTACCGGAGCCAGACTTTAAATCAGAGATACAACGTATACAATAAATATCACAATCAAGAGAGAGACGACTATCATGAAAGTGATCAACAGAAAAGCCCTAAACACTAAAAGGCAAGTCTATCTTTTGAACATCTCTCTGAAACTGAATGTGGACTTTGAGGAAACCGTCACCAGTGAGCCTTTCTCGTTCTCTCCAAGTCGCTGGCAGCGGTTCCTGCACGAGAGAAGCTTCAGATATACACATTTTTACACGGTTGACATCTGTCACCAGAGTGAGTGGGACGAAGTAGAGTTACTGCTGCTGACGCATAGCGAAGGCTGGGAAGAAGAGGACACAGATGCTGGGTCAGCCCTTCCTCCGTGTACAGTACGAGCTAGCAGCATTCCCCAACGTCTGAGGGCCGTTTTTAAGGGATGGCTGTGGCAGAAAGATATTCAGTGTCCTGCCTCTTTCTGTACAAAGAGAGCGCAGCCGGCTCCTCTTGGCTACATCCCACTGTTCTTGTGGGCAGCCTGATGGGTTCACATCTTGCAACGTACGGTCAAAAGCTAAGAGGAGGAGAGTGTTTTAGGTCAACCCGACGGACCACTGCCCTTATGGAGCTCAGGCAGGGAACAGCCTGCCGCAGGATAATTGGAATACACTTTTAAATTGATGTAAAAAAATCGTACACTCTAATAAGCAAAGGGTGCATTGGTGATAGCTAGCAGCTGGAGCCAGAGGGAGCATTTCAATCTGGACCTACGCTTTGCCCACAGTGACACACATCAGGGCAGTGCTGAGGGCACAAATGAAGGCCGAGCAGTGGTCTCATTTCAGCACTATGCTGCCTGTCGTGCTGCGTATCCTCTCCATTCAGAGAAGTGCTTACGTCGACAGAGTAGCTGAGCCCAGCAGAGAATGAGAGCACAACCACTAGCTTATTCACTTGCCCTCGATCACGTTGGAAAAATGTTCACTCTGTGCGCTCAGTGACTGCACTTAAGGCCGGGAGAGAAACAACTGCACCATTCCTCTTCATAACTCGTACATTTGAGGGCTCGCAGCAGAGAAAGTGGTTTAAATACACCTGGTACGCTCGAGCGGCTTGTTGGTAATGTGGGTGCCAAGCGTCTGCGGGGTTAATTAACGCTAATGGCAGAAGCCGCCATGCTGGCAAAACGTTGCGGCCGGCAACTCACTTGCCGCAGCAGTGATCTACATCAACTCTTTAATAAAAAGGAATTGGTGAACCGTCCTAAAACAGAAAAATAGACAATACACTGTTGAGAGTTCTGCCTCAACCCTTTACGCAGCCGACATTTCGAACACACACTTGTGTGCATGATTCAGATGGATTATTTTAGCGTCAGTCTATAGTATATACTGTTTAAGGAAAATGCTTAGGAATTTATTATTTAAGAAAGATACAACTTTTGGCATGGATATCTCAATTTACATTTTGTCTTAATATTTCATCTGATCTGTTATCACTTTCCATTGGTTTCAGCATACTTAACAGCTTTTCAAGATCATTTTACAGATATGTTCTGTCTTTACGTTTTAAAAGACATTTTGAAACTAAACATTGTGAAAGACCAGTTCAGTAAACCATCAATGGCATCTCGAGCTCAATCCGGGGCATCCCGTCGGTTTCTTCTGGAGTAGGGGGGTATGAGGTTGGAAGGAGGCTTTTGTCACCAATAAATAGATGATTGAAGAAGCCACGTTGGGCTTTAAAAAACTAGGTGAGTTTGTTATTGCCAAACGATTCATATATTATATTAAGATGAATTATTAATTAAGTTAAATCTTCCTATTTTTTCTTTTGACTCGGCTCTTAGGAGGCCTTTATTCCTTCCTACTGTTCTGTAAAATACACATGTAGGTGAAAAGGAATAAGCCTGACATCACAGTCCAACATGGTTTGTCAAAAGTCCCTGTAGCCTAAATTAAACTGTGGAACTTTCTTTGATAAGCTCAAGGCCATAAAATGAAGACATTTCGTTCATTTCTGTTAGAGATAAGAATATATTTTTATCTTTACATCCTCTACTATCACAGTCCATTAACAATTAGTTATACTTCTGACGTAAACAAGCTTATATGAATAACCCAGTTGTATCTTGAATCAAAGAATATAAAAACATGCACACACAGGAGAGCACGCTCCCACAAGCGGACAGAGAGGGTGCAACTACACCCCCATCGACCCCCACCCTCGGCGGGCCGTCTGCAACAACGACTACAACCCCCCACCCCCAACCCCCTCAACCCGCAGGTTATCTCCCTGTTTTTATCGTCCAAACCTTCAAAACTGGTCCGTGAAATATTGTCCGACATGAAATCGGTCCGTGAGGAAAAAAAGGTTGGGGGTCGCTGCTCTAACACACTGGACCACAGCATAGATTAAGTGCCGTGCCTGGACACTACAGGACTTAGATTGGCCTCTCATGGCACAGTTACACAATCTGTGCACACAATAGAGGACTTTTCACATCATTGCAGGAGGCAATGTGAATGCTTTTGAAAAATGTCTACTACTGTACTTTTGAAGAAAACTGGTGCCTTTTCTAACATATTGAGCTTTCTGCATTATGACATAAATAAAAATGTTGTTCATGCTACATTATAATGTATTGTGTTGAAAATTAAGTTTATTATTATTATTATTATGTTCGGAGGAGGTATGAGTGGTGCTGGAGAAGAACGAAGGCTACAATCAAACTGTGACAGTCAGAGAGGTTTGAAGAGAAAGAGGACAGAGAGAAGATCAAACTGTAAATAAAAAAAAAATTCTTACCTCATTTTTAAGTTGCCCGGCAACGGTTGTCCATCGTAAACTGATACAATATCAAAGTCTTCCTCAAGAGCCAGTGTGACGAAGGTCAGCTGGATTCGGTTCCTCTCCCCGGTTATTATCAGCCAGGTACAGTTGGCGTAGTTGGGATAGCCGTGAGGGAAACCCGGAGACTCTATGGTGCCGTTCAGTCCTTGGACCACACCACCGCAAGATTCAGCTGGAAGAGAAAGACGAAGGAAAATATTATTAGGATATTAGGATGTCAACATCACATAATATTCCTGTCATGCATAGTTTGGATTTGGAAGGCACAGCCGTATGTCCAAACATCAAGATAGAGAATATAGATGAAACTGAATGAATCATTATATATCCTCAAAAGTATTTGCTAATATTTTAACGGGTTGTGTATCAATCCAGGTGCCACAGTGTAACACAGCCCTGTCCTGACATGCAACTCCCTCACAATGCGACTGATCCCTCACAGCCGAGGATGACACGGCGTCAAAAGCCATGTGAAGCTTTGCACATTGACACACAGTCCTGTCACGGTTATCCGAAGGCAAGAGTTGACACGCTTGAATCTTTGACCAACTACTGAGTAACTACACATCGACATGAACAACTGCACACATACAAGCTGAGCCAGCTCTTATGCCGCTACTTTTATAGGAGCGAAACACATTAAAGAAAAAAGTTCTGAAAATAGGAATACGAAAATGTCATCATTTATTAAAGTTTGAGAAACCTATTTGTCAAACGAAAATGTCTCAGCTGACACTAGTAGGCGGTGGGATATGATCCAATGAAGAAACAAGCGCTTAATGTTTCTTCCACCACATTCACTTAATTTATGCTATTTGAACAGTAGGTTTGGATCTTTACTCATCTGCTGGGTGTCAGTTGCTCCTGAATACGTATATAGGTGCATGTATGAAAATATTTAACAGACGCATACACTGAAGAAAAGACTATATGAAACTTTGGCGAATTCATGAACAGCGTTTAACCGTCAGTGCTCAGCGGGAGACAACATACACAGTATGAATTAATAATAAAACATGTCTTAAAGCTGCCAACAACTAGGCTAATGTGTATCAAATCTGTTCATAGCTTTACATGTAACGGCAGCAAATGCAATGAACCAGAGCTCGACAAAGGCAGACCGAAACTTAAAGCAGCTAAAGTATGACTAGTGAGAAAGGCATAAAGCAGCCTGTAAAAGCTAACCAATGTAGCTTCACTTGAAAAAATGAATGTCCAGCAAAAAGGAAAACAAAAAGTATTGTACACAAACAAAAACACTGTGAGTGTATGTGCATGTGTGTGTGTGAAAAAGCCAGCATTAATTGTTTCCGAGATAGTGATGGCTATTGATTTATTAACATTGTATCACAGTGAACACACTCTCTTTCATCCACACGCAAACACAGACATACAGCAAAGTGTTAAATACTCAAATAACCATCTACTAGGTCACGATCTATACAAGCAAATGCAAACAAAATATTTATGCATCGGATTCTGTGGTTGTCTTTTCCAATCAAAATGAGATCAAAACGTCCGCAGTGTGCACATACCAGATGTTCTTGTTTGTCTGAGGTATCGCAAAACACACAAACACACGTAAATATCTATACACAGGCCCAAACAGACAAGCTGGCAAAAAAAAAGACGCGTGCAAAGCAAGACACACAAGCATGCACGCAGACACGCATGCACGCACACACACGCACCAAAACCTCAAACCATCTGGAGTGTCCAGATTAATTTCGGATTGTTCTCCGCTGTCTTTCCAACCCAATTCACCTATCCCCTTCAGTCGTCTCTGTGTGTGACTCCAGTTGTCTGTCTCTTTCTGTGCACGGTCTCTTCCGATGCCAGATTCCCCTCTGCCCCCTTTGAGCAGATGGGAGGAAGGGGAGCTGAATGCCATATTGCAGCATCAAACTTGGGGCCTTTCAGAAGTTGATCGTCTTGCCCATTAGTTGATGTTAATGTTGGGTTACAAATTTACAGGCACACAGCTTGATGATGAAGCTTAGGGGGGGAAATTAAACACTGGATTGATTGATTTTAGGCAAGGCATATGTATTTGCATAACACATTTTTACAAGGCAATTCAAGGTGCAGGACATCTTAACAACCTCCTTTTTTACATAGGGGGTTATTAACTGCCTGCAATTGATGGTCATTCATGATACTATTTAACAAACAGCATGAAGATCAATCCCATTATGACACAAGAGCCTCAGTGACCAGCCGGCCTTCATGGCCGTCACTCGGGCTAGTGTGACTTAAATAAATGTACTCAGTTTCGCTTCTGGGAATACAAATGGCGATCTCTATGAATAAAATAAATACTTTAGACGCAAAGTACTCTACTGTTTTCACCTGCCCGACTCAACACACGTTTATTGTTTTCATTTTCAGAACTTGCCAACCAATTTAAAATTGCCTGCAATCGATAACGGAGACAAGCGATAATATTTCTTCAGGGAGTCGAGTTTATGACAGAGTGGCCTCCAAGGTAGCTCTGACTGGGGGGCGGGGCTTATGGTACGGTCAATTACGCTGAGTACCACGTTAAATGGCAGCTACAGACCCATGCTGATAAAAAACATGCTGTGCCGTCAGACACATACAAACCTTAGCATTCAAACACAAACAAACGCTTAAACATTAAAATACAGCGCTAAATCCTACAGGTACCTTTGATTTATATCCCACAGACTTTGAGGCTTTTGCTCTGTTATTTATGTCAACTAGTAATCCAATTTTACATAGTGGTCTCCGCGCTGTACTCCGATGCTGTCATGAGACATGTCGCAGGTTAAAATACGGATGGTAACATTTCTTTCTATATTCAACAATTGTTCCCTAGAGCTGCGTGCCACATGTTGATAACATAAGCTAGATGTTAAATATTTATAATGCATAAAAATGAATTACTTCTTAATTTTTGCCCAGCCTCCCAAACCAAGGTCTGCATTGTTATGTAATACTTGGTTGATTGCTCAGATCAATTTCACAAATCGGACAGATTGTCATACTTTAGGAGTTGAGAAGCGGCAGAGGTGGAGCGGCGCTCCAGTAGAACCTGACCACAAGGTCCCTGGCTCGTAAATCATCTCCTGGCCTCCTCGTTCCACGGCGCGCTGGGCCACAAATCAAATGCATCTTTCTAAGTTACGCTGTGTAGAACTATCGACTGCAGTGATTCAATACCGGCTATGAAAAAAATGGGAGAGTAGAGGAGGAGCAGAGGGGGAGAGGAGGAATCTGTTGCCTGTTTTTTTTCTGGTGGTCTTGTTGTCTTTCCCACCTCTTCTCCTGTACCACCCCCTCCTTCTTTTTCATTACCTCTGTGTCAGAATCATTGTGTCTCCCCCACACTCTGTCTCCATGTGACCGTCCATCTCTCGATACACCCCATCTACTGTATATCTCACTTCTTTCCCATTGTCGCTGTCCTAATAACATTATTATAACCATCTGTGTACCGTGCATCTCATTCTCTTCCACCCTTCAGCTTCACCCCTCTCCAACACTTTATCCAGCTCTCTGTCATCACTTCCCTCCTCGCTTCCTTCTCCGCTGCTCTCTCATCCCTTCGTCCCTCTCGCCTTTCCCTCTTTTGTCCCAATTATCTCTATTACTACCATTGTATCCATCTCTAAATGTCAGTACATTGGTTCCTGGCTTTATTGCTATTATAATCACGGTCACATTGTCTCCCTCCTTGTGTCATTATATCAGTCTCTCTGTTTCCTCTCGTATCCCTCTAGAGTGTTAGCTTGTTTTTATTCCGCCCACTCACCTGCTATATTTATCACACAAAGAACAAATAGCAAAACCTCTCTCTGTCTGTCTTTCTCGCTATCGCCATTTCTCGCGCTCTCCGTCAGCCCACTGTCAAACAGTTTAAGTAAATGGGACTGCCGTTAGATTCAAGCATTCAGGCCGTTTAGCTGGTGCTCATTGGAGATAAAAACAAGCCTGGACAATAACATAAAAGTCCTATCAATGCAGTTAACTACACAGGAACCTGTTTTGTAAAGATGTTGTGTTCTTCTGTGAAAGCAATTACTCCCAACATGTATTAATCTGTTTGGATTTTTTTTTACAGCCATCATGACGTTCATTCTGAACTGATAAAGGAAGAGTGGGAAAAGCACTTTGGTCCATGCAATTTACAACTGATTTAACTGAAAAGAAAAACAGATTTTGAAAGAAAATCTTTCAAAATGCAATTATTGTGTGTGTGATTACGGTTTGGAATGGATGGCACTGCAAAGTCTGCTTGCTAACAAATAAACAAAGTGGAAATGAATTAAAAAGCCAACTTGCAAACTAATAATCACTGAAGAAACCGTGTCGAAAATTCTCCCGAGCTCCTCGTTACACTTTAATAAGTTGATCAAAGAGCTAATTTGTCAAACACAAGATTAATATACTTGTCAGGTGTGAATTAGATGCAAGCTTAAAGAATCTTCTGGCGAAGCAGTCACCATAAAACCGTGGAACGGAGGAGACGTGTATCATGTGTAACACGCAAACGCACAAACAGATGGAGAATCACAGAGAGACACAGTGAAAATCAAGGTTACATCCAGAATAAATCCAAACTCAGGAAGGACTATTGGTTCTGTCTAGCAGAGACAGGTAGGATGCATTGTTTCTCCTAGGTTTACAACTTCAGCGATTTTGACTATAACAATCATCGGATTGATTGGAATCTAATAATTACACTTTTTTTCACATTTCATAATGGCACAAGGGGAGACGCCACGTCACTGGCGTGGACACCTGCGGTTTATAGACCGGTGCGGCTTATATATGTACACATCTTTTTTTGCGTTCTAAAGTCCGGAATTTACGGTAGTTGTCTAAAATGTATAATTTTTTTTAAATGATGACATCAGAATTATGACGGCCCTATCAGAGACATAGTAGCATCAAAGTAACCACGACGAGCTCCAGTCACATGCTGACACCTGACATCAGATGGTGTTTGGCAGAGAATGGCATGAGTTCTATTTGTAGTTGTGTGTCTGTATGTGTTTATTGTAAGTATTATCTTAATTTTTCCTCATTCTTATGAAAAACATCATGCTAAAAAAATCAGTCTCTTTGTGAAGAAAGGTCTCTGTAGTCAGTCATCATTCAACCTACAACTCAATAGCTTGTGTTCTGAACAGAATGAATGGACACAAT